CTACCAACTGGTGCAGGATTTTGTCCATCCACAATAGATGGGAGGATGTTTGATCGCAAAGGGTTCCAGGGGATGATTATCAGACCTTGACGCCCTGTCATTGGGGGAGATAACTTGATTCTGCGAATTGTTTTTCACCTGGTTGCCTGGTAGTTTTGAGTGGGAAAAGATGGGAAATTCTTCGATTCGTCGATGGATCTTGGATATTCCATCGCCTTTGACAGAGGTTACCCTCTGGTAATTTAACATAGCTATGGAAAATCACCATGTTTGATGGGAAAATCCACTATAAATGGCCATTTTCAATAGCTATGTTAGTTTACCAGAGGTTAGAGGGTCACAAAGGTGGACCGGGATGGTTTTCGTGGTTTTTCTGAACACGCACCGGTATGGTGGATGATAGGAGAATGGCTTCTGTCAATGGCTGAAGGGTGGATACCTGAGAAATCGGATGTGGTTTGCTTCGATAAGCGTTGGGTAAAAATATCTTCCAGTGGATGAGACTTCGGTAAACGAAACGGAACACCAGCAATCAAAAAAAGGGCAATTCTACAATTGTCACCTTAAAAAATGTAACTGGCAGGACTAGGCATCGATATGGGCATGGGCATGTGTCAAAACCATTAAAAACATGATAAGAATATAAGAACATTTTTTTGGGAAGAACACTTTAAATAATGTGTTTTAAGTAATTGAAGTACCCAGCTAAATTTTGAAGATTTCTGATTTATCTGAATCTTCCACTGGACCAGGATACCGGTGCATTGCGTTCATCCTGGGGAGGTGCTCACACAGGTTGGGCCACATGACTTAGGCCCATTTAGGCCCAACTTGTCTTACAAATTGAGGGGTTGCGAGTCTGAAGGTTTTCCTGTTGATACTTGTATATATAATCTATACTATATATATATATACTGGTTGGTGGTTTGGAACATTTTTTTTCCATATAATGGGAATAATCATCCCAACTGACTAGTATTTTTCAGAGGGGTTGAAACCACCAACCAGTATATATATATATAAATATGATATATGCATACATATGTACTATACTTTCAGCAGACGTGCAATGGTTGTAAACAAGTGCATTATATAGATATGTCTGATATATGTTAATGTGTGCATATGGTTCTGTATGATCCTGTATGATTCTGTAGCTGAGGGTTCAAAGGTTGTCATGTAGCTATCCAAAAGATTGGCATTGTTCAGTGGTTTTCACTAACGTTTCAAACCTGGCAGTCGACAATTGCCATGTTCAATAGGAAAATCATTGATCTTCACCATATATACACCATCTCTGCACCATATTTCCAGGTCTTTTTCTACTCTCTGTTTGATCAAAGGGAGAGTGGCGATCGCCGGCCCCGGCAGGTCATGAACGACATGCACCCGGCAGTGCTGGCGCTAGGAACTCAACTGTTGCTGTTTATCGATGGCTTAAGACCGGCCAGGAACCACTCATGACTCATTGAGTTTGCAAGAGGTTGCAACAAAGTCAATATGGGTTGAAACCTGAAAATGGGCTATAGCAGTATAGCCTCAATGAAATAGCCATAAAAAGTAGGGATTTTATGATCACTCAGATCTGCTCCCGTGCTTCAATCTTCGCCAGCACTGGCCGGATCGTTTCCCTCTGCTGAAATACCCTCTGGTTATGACTAACATAGCTATTGAAAATGGCTATTGAAATAGTGGATTTTCCCATGAAAAATGGTGTTTTTCCATAGTTATGTAACAGTTTACCAGAGAGTATCCTTTATTGAGTTGTTCTCGAGACAAGGAAGTTGCGGCATCGCTAGAGTGACATCGTGGCGTACACTTTGTCCTACTTTGATATTATAGGTAAAAAGTGAATTATAATACCCCAACATACCTCAATCAATTCCTAAAAAACGGTTCTTCCTCAAGACTTCAACACTTTTTCGGGGATCCCAATATGTTGGTGTGTTGCTTTAAGGGAAAAATAGCACGAAAAAAAAGACGTTCTTAGATGTTTTAATCTGCAAAAATGTACAAACATTTAGATTTTGGGATCGATTTTCTGTGAATTTTCCAAGCAATGGAAGACCATGGCCAGCAGACAGCCCAAAAATTTTTAGGGGCCGGTGGTTTTTCGAGGATCTACGCCACCTTCCGTTTCGTGGCCAAACGGCTCTTCAAGTCACCTGAGGAGGGAGCAGTGAGGGCTGCCCAGAATGGTCAGAATCATCCCATGGGGGGTCATGATATATACATCCCATCTAGCCTCTGGTTATTTAACATAGCCATGGTATAGATGGCCCATTGAAATAGATGGTTTACCTAGCTATAAAATGGTGGATCTTTCCATGGCAACCTGTTAGTCATAACCAGATGGTATATATCAAAAAGATGACCAAAAACGGTGTAGCTTCAAAGATTCACTGTGATATGATGTGAGATAACATCTGATTTTTATGTTTTTTTTAAAGTTGGAAACCAAATACCATAAACCTGGCATTTGGATCATTTGGGGAGGGTTGGCAGCATGGTTTAGCAGCCTCTGACCTGGTTTTGTTGGAATCCTGGAAGGGAAAAACCACACTCGGGGATTCTTCCTTTGAAACAAAGGGGACCCCAAATTCCAGATAAACATATAGAGATTATATATATATAGATAAACCATGATTAACCCAATTTCTCATTCTCTACTCATTATCCTTTGGTACACTAACATAGCAATAGAAAATCACAAGGTTTACGAGGTAAATCAACGAACTAAATGGGTATTTTCAATGGTTATGTAAGAAATTGCGAAAGGGTATCATCATTTTTGGTGGTTGGTTACTGTAAATTTAAATCCCACTAAATCCCATTGAATATCGAGAAGATCACAATTCTTGCTGGTCCACCTTAATTATTTCACCATAAAACACACCGAGCCCTCGCGAAAGCATTAGGTGTGTACTGTTTTTGCAGCTACATCTCCAGAGATTGACTGCACGGGACAGTGCCTTGACCTGGGATGTCATGGTATATATCTATGGGATATACCCCAACAATGGTTATTTTCCATAGGAAACACTAATTAGTTTACTATGGGATGTTGGGATACCCCATTGACAAAGTCATGTCAGCCATGTAACTATGGTTATATAAGTTATTTAACCGTATGGTTATCTTTTATGGTTATTATAAACTATGGTTATCACTCATGTAAATTTCGAGTGGTTTAATCACCTATGTTAATTATAAACTATGGTTATTTTATGGTTATTATATTATCTATGGTTTATTTTTTGGGATCTACGAAGGTGGTTTGCTGAAAATCCAGCATTTAGTTCGAAAAGCAATTCCCAGCTAGAAATCTCCATGGCGTGGGCGGGGACCACGTTTGATTACCGGACAGTACAAACCGGGATATAATGGGTTTATGATGGTGTAATATACAGTAGATATATAATTATATATACAAGGATGGTATATAATGTGATATGACGGGTATATAGATACAATGGGACACAATGGACTTGATATGATATTTGGGTCTGTCTCAAGATTGGTTGCCTACCCCCATTGATGGCCAGTTGATAGTGGATCGAATGGGGTACTCAATTTTTAGATTTTTAGACGAACATTGTGAAGATGTGGGTCAAAAATTTGTACACACCTGACAGGTGGAGTGTTTTTCTAGCTGAACTGACATAAACAGTGATCAAGCAAACCAAAGAATATGGAGGCAGAGCCCAAAAAAATTGGATGGTGTGTGCTACTAAACTAGAATAGCCAATTCATAGATTTTCCAATGAAACCTTCGTTGACATATGGGGATTTCCATGGATTTCCCAGCTTGCCATGTTCACCGGAGGGATCTGACCCCTTTTTTCAAAGGAGACCCTGTGAAAGTTGCCTCCTTTGTTGTTGATTGATGTTGGTTGTACTCACTGGGATTGCCAGTGAAGTTAGTCAATGGAAGGAGATTGGAATATGTATAGACAATTTTCCTATGGAATATATATATATATACATACACTTATATATATATGTATACATTAATATTATACATGTATCTAGCCTACACATTTCCATGCGATTTGCAACCTTACCAACCCTCGTGCATGTCGTTGCACCGTTTGGATTTGCTTCAGAAATCAATGGGTGATCCGCGTCACCAACTGCTGAGACAACCTCATTTTTCGGCTTTGTCTGAAGCATGAGGTATTCCCAAATTTCAATGTTTAGCATCATGTTCTCAATCAAAACAACTATTTTGGGATATACAGTACTTGCTCGGTAGATTTTATTAGATTTTTCGGACCTCCCTCCAAAAAAAAATGGCAAACTCGCAGGTATTTCATGCGATTGAGACCCGCTGCTGCCCCTGAGGTTTCGAACGAGGGTGGGATTTATGTTTGGTGGTGAAGAAAGTTGTGAAGAGACGGTTAACTTGTGTGTCATTGTATAACTGGCATTCATTGTATGTCTATTAGTGTAACATAAATATATATATATATGAATACTATATATATATACACATATATTTGACTTTGACAGAAATCGGTCAGTGTATATACGGAGAACATTTGGCACATTCATACATCTAGTTCTCATGGTCAAAAAAGTGAAAAAGTCTAGGCAGCAGCAATGTTGTCAGACCATATATGGATGATCTCAATGATCTGTCTACATGGCTGGACACCTGAAAGCTTGGGATTTCAGAATCTCCCAGACCTGCAACTCACCTGCTGTTAGTGGATTTTCCTGGTCGAAACATCGAGCTGCAATCGACTTCGATGTGGCTTTTCCCTAGAAAAATTGGACAACCCGGCCTCAAGCTGGTTCGAGCACGCCGGCGACCTGCGATACACAAGAGTGAACTTAAGTCTTCTGAAAAAATGACATACATGTATTATACATGTAGATATGTTATTATACAGTTATACATGTTAAAGAAGGGGATGTTGGCAGATCTCACCATCCCACTTTTTGCAGAACTTGACACATCGCCCAGCTGAATTAGATGAATTTGCTGTGTCGTATGAAACTGCGAATCGCTGAACTCAGCATTTCCCACCTTTTTCAATTGGAAAATGGCGACAATTTCGAAGGCGAAGGCCGCAGCGCGAAAATAGGGCAGTTAAACTTGATGTTGTTTGCTTGGACTTCTTACATGTTCTAATACCTATCATGAGGCAAACTATCAACAACATCGGTGATTTGAAGCTGGATATGCTCGATGATTTCTGCTGAGCCACACTGACTGTAGATGGATGGGTCAAAACATGTCAAAGCCATTCAAAGCCCATAAAGGTATGGATCAATACTTATTAATACCATTTTTAGGGGGTTATGAAAACATCCATAAATCCCAGCTATTTTGATGTGAACAAAAAAGGGCTACGTACTATTGGTTTTGACACACAAAGCCCATAATTTCCCATATGATTCGGAGGGATGAATTCAATGTGAAAGCCCAAAATCTAAAAGTATCACCCTGAAATCGCCATTGGAAAAATCATTGTTTAATCGTTGAAGCCATATATTTGGTGGTTAAATCAAAATTTAAACCCATCATATTTTTAATGTATGTGTTCATGTCAATCCTTGTGAAATTCCATGGATTTGTTTAGGGGAAAATTGAAACCGGACACCCTGAGTTATTATGATTCATGATTCTTATGCCGAAATATTTGATGCCAACGCTGAAGATGTTCCCATCATTTCCCATTGGTACCCTCTGGTAAACTGTTACATAACTATGGAAAATCACCATTTTTCATGGGAAAATCCACTATTTCTATGGCCATTTTCCATAGCTTTTTGTATGTTTACCAGAGGGTAAATCATCCCTTTCGCCAAAGGCCAATGCGATGGCGGCCTTCCAAAAGCTTCATCAGGAGAGTCGACTAGACTTCGACGCTTCGGAGTCTTGGTTGGTGTGGTTGGTGACCGGAGAATGTTCATCGGTTGAATGGGCTGTTCATATGGGTATGGGTCAAAATTAGGTACCCCAATAATTGGATGGTTAATACTAGACTAGACTAACATCTGTGGTCCCCTAGGTCTTCCATTTTGACCCACATCCATATGCTATATATAATCATGGGTAAAATATGGTTTAACGAAGAAACATGAGATATTGAAGGGCTACAATTATATGTCAACTAAAAGGGATTTACCAACGAATGTCACCGGAGTTTGGAAGAACCAACTGGGATACCCTTCGGTGTCTTCAAACATCATAATATTGGAAATCCCACATAGTCTTTTTTAATGACCAAATCATCTATAAATGGGCGGCGATTTTCCAGCTAGCCACGCTTACACACACACACACGTTGAGATTTTACCATGTGTTACCGTCAAACATCTAGTTTTAAGATGATGGAACTACTGAATAACAGATTTGGGTTTGTTTGACAATGAACGATACACCACAATGGCAATTTCAATGCACATTTTAGGGGTTCTCTACTAGAGACGCCCATATATGGTCTAATGGGGCGATCTAGAGCCTCAAGTTGATTCCCCAGCAGCAAAAATGGAAGAACTAATGACATCTAATGACTATATAATATATAATGTAACACAGGTGCGAATGTTGTCCATTCTACTCCCAACTTTGGGTACGGTTAAATAACCATACAGAAACCATGGTGATTGGCTAGGTGGAACCATGGAACAAACATATAGGCAGTAATATTTCCCACAAAGGTTTGAACACATTAATCGGGTTTGAACATGATTTGATTCAACCTCACCATGACCAGAATGACTGACATGAACATCCATTTAACCGTTTCCATCCAAATCGTGGGAAAGGGAAATTTTGAGGGCCGCATTTCTGTAGGCGGTGCATTGAATATGAACATGTGTAAGGATGCCAATGGACTAAGAATGTCCAACAACCCTCCTGTAATCCAAAATTGTGCTTGCTGGAAAATCACGCATACAGTTCGCGGATTTCCCCAGCATTGTGATGGCACCTCGGAGGGTATGCTATCCATGAAATCCCCTGTAATCCCATTAAATTTCTTTCCATCCCACTATACTCATCCCATTCAATCCCATATCCATCCCATATTCCATGTTTACTTGGGATTTACATGGGATTTGGTGGGATTTCAGTCACTATGGAAAAGGCACTTCTGGAAAGGTGATGATTCATCGCAAGAATCCCATGAAGTCCTCTCAAATCCCCTTCAATCCCATCGAAATCCTATCGGAATCTCATTTCAACCCCAAATTTTGGATGTGTCTGAAAATGGCTTGAAACCTTCAATAGGATACTATTTTCAGACATATTTGGATGTGTCTCAAATCCCATTTCAATCCCATATTTGGTGGAAACCTCCTAAAAAATGGCTAATTTCCATAGATTTCAAGCAATTTTGCTTGCTCCTTGCTGAGCAAAGCCTGTGAGGTGAGCACTGATTGGAGCTCCGTTTCTGGGACTGGAGAAACCATGGTTAAATGTCAGATTCAGCCGCACATAGATGGGGGTTCTGATGATATATATATATATATGTATGATATGATATGATATGATATGATATATGATATATGATATATGATATATGATATGATATGATATGATATGATATGATATGATATGATATGATATGATATATGATATATGATATGATATGATATGACATGATATGATATGATATATGATATGATTATGATATGATATGATATGATATGGGATTTCATTGGATTTATATATCTGGGTAAATTATAACGACCTCACTGCGACCTCACTGGAATCATGGTTGATAAGGGAAATCATCCCCAAATGGCATTAATTCAGGTTAGTGAAATATTATAATTTACCCAGATATATGATATGATATGGGATTTCATTGGATTTACTGGGATTGAATGGAATTTTTGATGGGATTTAATGGAGACATAATGGGATAGAATCGGATCTGATGGGAATGGAATGGGCACATAATTCATGGGATATGATAACATATGACAACTAGAAAGGGGTATAACATGGGATAGAACATGATACAACCAACTATAGATATCTCTGGGTCTTGAAATGGGCCATCAATACCCCTTGGTTTTTTCCATTTGAATAGGGCCCATCTTAAAATCCTCTGGGATTTAGGGGTACCCATTTTCGGGGGAGGTTACGTTGAATTCCTCCCAAAAACAACCTGGTAATTTTGGAACATGATGTTCTCAACGATGATGACTTTACGTGGCTCCAAAGATGAGGAAAAACCACTGGATTGGGATCCTACATTTGAACAAGGCAGATCGTGTGGCCAGTTTTGTTCTTTGTGATGGGTCTTAAAATGCTCAATTCAGCCCTCAAAATTAGGTGGAGAATGATGGATCCCCTGTTCCAGGAATTGGATTTGTAGTACCCTCTGGTAATTTAACATAGCTATGGAAAATCACCATTTTTAATGGGAAAACTCACTATAAATGCCATTTTCAATAGCTATGTTAAATTACCAGAGGGTATAACCTCCAGTAATCAAACATGGCATGGACAATTTAACCGCCACCACTTACTTCGATGATTTTTCCAGCTAGCCAGGTTTGATAGGACCGGAGGGTATACCCATGAAAGCCCTCCCACGTCGGAAAAAAAAACAAAAAAGATCCCCTAAAATGGAAGTGGTCTAGTAAACAAATGTCAATCTGTACATACTGTAATTCCATAGATATTTGCGAATTATTTGTGGCTGAATCAATTCAGTAAATCCCATGTTGATCCCATGTTTATCCCATGTTGATCCCATGAAGTCCTACCAAGTCCTACTTGTACCAAAAATGAGAGAAACATCCAGCATCCATCGGCTCCAGCGTCCAGTCCACCGACTCTCCATCTGAGTCGGCGGGACCTCACCGCGTCGAACGACCAATGATGGCAGGGGGCCATCCGCACGTCATGTGTTTGTCGCACAATGTGAAGGTGCGATTTCTGGGGGAAATATGGGGAAATGGGGCTGGAACATACTGGAAAATCTGAAATCCACTTATAGATTATCTTAGATTGTCTAGATTGGTTTCAGATGTTCAACATGGGAAACTCTGTATAAGATTAACATGGGAAACAAGAACATCTATTTGTTTAACATGCTTTGACTCAAAGATAAAATGGGAATTAATAGATGTACATGCCATACACTTAGATTGTTATGAGTTGTTGGATATATGTTTCACATGGTTGCCAGATGTACTAATGAAAAAAACTAAGGTTAGGTTTAACTTATAGGAGGGGATCAACAAATTTGTCAAGGTAAACATGGTGTTGTTTCCTGTGTTTACCTGGGAAGGGTGCAGAGATTTGAGTAAGGTATCGATTCTTAATGGACACATATTGACAATAATTTAAGTTGTGAAGGCAAACCACAAGCCACTAAGACCTTGGATGATAATTGAATGAGCATAAAATTATATAAATTGAGAATCAATAATGTCCAATTTGCATGTGGATTATTTATATGCAAAGGACTTTGATATGGATGCGATTTGCTACAAAAGCGAACTTTGGATCAATCCAATTGCTTAATCCAAGGCCCTTGAAGCGATATCGGGTGTCATTGATCTGTGAGAAATCAGTGACCTTTGTGGCGGAGCCAACTTTCCCAGATGGGATGCTGGCCAAAAAAAAACCGCCCTGGGATATGAAACATTTAAACATATTGATTTTACAGAAAATAAACCCAAGTCAAGATATGTCCAGATTAAGGAACCCTCAAAATCCCTCTCTCCAGATCCGTTGCAAGTAAGACTTTTTGCGGTTGATGTACGCATTCCCAAGCTTTACCATGCCCAATCGTGCTGCTTCAGCCCCAAAAACCAAGCAGAACAACTGTGATGTCCCGATTCCGCAAGAACTTGGGCAGAATTGGCACTGCAGGACCCGAAACAAGGAGAAACGCAAGTTGAACGCCAACAGCGGCCCCCCAAAAAGACAATGTCATAAAGTCTCAATTCTCAAAAGACATTCTGGTTGGGAAATCTTCATCAGATAAGGATGTTTCTTGGGGCCTTCCATCACCAGTCGTGAATGCCCAGGCACCAAAGTGGTCCTTCACATCTCGCGATTGTTCCACCGATTGCAATCTTGGCGTGAAGCATCCCGTGCCGGGGCCTGGCACCTATGAGTTATCCCCTTCGGAGAATGCGGCCAAGACGCTGGGCGAAAGTCAGGGAAAGTGGCAGAAATCCAAGTGGTTGACCAGCTGTTGATATGAACACATCTGAAATCGAAAAAATCGCCGTGAAAAGATGGATATTTTTGCCTAGTTCTGTGTGATATTTGCCCAGATTTCTTTTGGGATGGGACTCCATTTGATATTTGGCCCTCCATGTTCATTGTCATAAAAGAAAGTAACATAAATTACATCCCATATGGCCCATACATGAATATCATGAATGGGTATATAGATGTATATAGTGTTCATCCATTGGATCATCAAAGTTTCCTCAAAAAACATCCCGACCCAGGACCTTTCGTCGCCCGCCGAAGTTTAGCTTCGGCTCGGCGGGGCGAAATTTGGTGGGCGTGCGGCCCCTGTGGCAGGCCGGGTCTCCATGGGGTCCAGGCGGAGTAGCAAAACTTGGCATTTGAAACCTGGAGGACGTGACGTATAGTTTTCCACAACATGATACAGTATGGCTATTGATGTTCACACACAGGTATGCTAGATAATATTATATTATATAAATTATATATAATATGATATATTATATTATTGTGTAAATATATATATATATGTGATATGTATGTAATATCATTCAGATATGTTGTACACATGTCTATTTCAAAGACACCCCTGTCCCTTTTGACAGGAGAAGCAGCCACCCGGTCCCGGTGCGTGACGTGGCGAGTTGAGACTGGGGTTCTTGAGAGGCTTCCCAAAATTTCGGCACGGTGGATGGTTATTCCATGTTATTCCTTGGTATTTTGACTCAAAGTTCTGGACAGCTATGGGTTTGACCCCGCGTTTAACATCAAGCAGTCGGCATTTCGAAGGCCTCCCTCATACACCTTTGGATGAAGCGATCCCCACCTGAACGAGAGGTGGAAAAAACTGCATTCGACAAGGCACCAGGTTGAAAAGATTAGTAGTGCAATATGTCTGGGGAATTCAGCTTCAGAAGAAGCGGGTCCATTTTGACGGGAATAGGATCTGGTAAGTTCAATTTATGTCCAGAGATGCAAAAGCCTTGTAAAATCTCTTAAAAATATTATTAAGATTTATTAAGTATTTATTAAGTTATATCTTTTATGGTCATCTATAATACATATACCGCCGATTTTGCAAAAGATGACTTCAGCATGACATGGACATGTTTCTCCTTCCATGCTTCAGCCTTTGGTCAAAATCCCTGGTGGTTCATGGTGAATGATAGAGGACAAGTGGGATGTTCACTGGTCTTTGCTAGTTGGTGGTTTCAATGTCTGTTTATGGTCCTCCTTACTTTTTGGAATCATCCAGAATGACCAGGCTCCGTTAAGCCTATATCTACCGAAGATTCACCGTTTCCAGATCAGTTCCTTTGGGCTTATAGTTTTCGGGCAATATTTTCATATTATATATACTGTATATATATATACTGTATATATATATATACTGTATATATATATACTGTATATATATATATGTAAACCATCAACGCGTTTACAGTACATCAGGATACAGCCATATTTTTCAGTGGAAGGCTCAACTGATGTAATCGTCAGGTATGGTGGTAACTTCACAACCTTTGGTTACTGACTGGGTGGCGGCAGACGCACAGATTCACTGAGCTGAGAGTATATGGGTGTTTCCTGCCTGGATGTACATCTCAGTTTCCTGCCTGGATACAACAAGCCAAGTGCATATGGGGTAGACGCCAGTTGTTTTCGTGGGTTAGTAACAATTTACCAATTGAGATGTACCCGCAAGTATGGACACCCCCCAAATCATCCATAATTCGACAATACCCTAGACCTAGTCAATGGTTATTACAACACTTGATCTTAGATTTGCTGAAGCTGATTCTTCATGGTTCAAGTGGTTCCACAAAAAACTGGGAAATCCTCTAGAAAAAACTGTTTTAGATTTGTTTGCCATCAGCACATCTCAGTTAGTTCGTCTATCAGATCACCTCAGCACATAGGCGGCAGGAATTCACGTAGATGGCGACGCTGATCGAGGATCGCCTGAAAGCTCACCCCAAACCTGGCCTCTTGAGATCGGGGTACCCATGGGTACCCGGTTTTTTCAGACCTTGCTGTGAGCTCTCAATATCCATTTATCTCCATTTCTTTTGAATATGTTTGAAGTCCACGCATCCAAATCCAAGAGTCGACCATCTCAACATCTTGTTGGAGTCTAAAATACTTGAGGTAAATAACATTGTGACCTCACATTTCCGGTTTATGTGGGAAATTCTTCCAGATATTGATCCAGGACCCTGGTGGGGATTGACCCCCTGTGGCCATGAAAAAATAGGGAAAATTTCTCGGGGAAAATGATGAGAATCCATTGAAAAAAAGGGGGTATCCATGACTGTCCGCAGCTATCATATTTTTAAACAAACCCATATGGTTATCAATATATAATATATGTCAATTTGTGGTATGTGATACTCCATGTAAAGGCCAGGTTGTCACATGTAGTGTCTGCTGCCATTTCGGCTATCAGGGCCCTTGAGCTACATCGCTATCGCTACTAGCAAAAAGAGCCGCGTTGGACTGCACGATACCGTTGCCAATTCACATTGGTAGCGGAGCAGGTGACGACCTGTCTCCGGGTACGTGTCAGATCCAGGGATTGAAAATAGTAGAAGTTTGAATCGGATTTGTTCTTGGAACTTTTTCTGCCGAAATTGTCTGATCCCTGTGGGACAGACCTGCAATTGGCTGACCTTGGGTATAGGCAGTCCATCGCAAAGGAATCGTAGAAATGTCAGTAGCTGGACTTAGGTTTGGTTCTGACCGATCCACTGTGCCCCTAGAGACCAAGAGTGGATCATACATATACCATGGGGATGCAGCACATTATCATGATTGGGAATTCCGGACCCTTTTGCGAATAAAGCTGTTTGATTCAAAGAAAGATGTAGAATCCTCCCCAACCGGAAGGAGTGCCGAGCCCGTTGGGCCGGACTCTGAAGCTGATGCTGGGATTTCACCCCATCCGCGCCCAGGCCGACCAGATGACGAAGCCGGAGCCTCTGCCAGTCGAAGCCCTAAAGGGGATGACACGGGTCGAGATCGTAGTGTCTTAGTCAACAAGGTCGTAGAAGGTCTTCGAGGTGATGCCTTTCTCATTGCCAGAGATCTCGGTTTGGAGACTCTGTCCCAAGAGGAAGGTCTTGAACGATTGGTTGAACGAATCAAGGCCCATGTTTTTCCCAGAGCTCAAGAAGAAGCCAAAGAACTCTTCAGAGCAGGGCAGAAAGCAGGTGGAGTTTTGTCCCGACAACCCCAAGAACCCATGCTGAGTTATACTCAACGCAGACGCAGATGGTGGAGAGTGTTGACCGAGCTTGATCCTTCCATGGCACTTTCAGATGGACTCCGTATGGAGCTCATGCTTGAATTGTCAGGTCTGAGCCGGCAAGAGGTACTGGTCGTAAAAGCATGTGCCACCACCAAGGACTTTGAAGGAGTTGCTAAGGTGTTGGTTGATCAGTATTCAGGAATCCATTTGAGGGAAGGATCCAAGTCTTGGGTTGGACGTTCATCTACCCCACAACAGTATGGGAAGTCTGGTAAGGGATATGGAAGTTCCAAAGGACCCCAAAGTGGTAAAGGTTCCTACAAGACAGCCTACAATGCCTATCCCGATGAGGAAGGCTATGGTTATGGTGACTATGATGAATACCAAGAGGAATACTATGAAGAGGATGCACCATACGTAGGTCTGCTTGGTGGGATCGAGGAACATCCAGAACAATCAAGTCCAAATGTTGACAATCCCTATGAAGCCTTTGACTTTCACGACGAAGTTGATGAGTATGAAGCCACTGCCCTGAATGCACTAGTGGATGTAGGAGATGAATCAACTGAAGATGACAAGAGCCTTGGGGAAGCTCTCCAACTCCAACTAGCTGCATTCGCAGCCTTCGGACGTGTGAAAGGAAAGGGTAAAGGCAAACCCAAAGGAAAAGGGAAAATCATCAGGTCCAACTTGTCCATCGAACAGCGCAGGAAGCGCCTTTCCGAGATTAAGGCCAAGTCAAAATGCCTTCGCTGCGGCGCCTACGGGCACTGGGCAGGTGACCCCATTTGTAAATTCCCAGGTGCAAAGGGGAATGCTAATGCCAAGGATTCAAAACCCCCATCGAATCCTCCTAGGCCAACAGCGCACTTTGCAGACTTCTCGGAATCTTCATCAGATGAGGGAGTTTTCTTGAGTGCATCATCACCCAAAACACCAGTTGCAAACATGGCCATCAAGAGTGCAGCTGCCCTTTCAAAGGCACCCAGTTTGGGACCTCCCACAACTCCGGTAGGACGAAATGACCCGTCAAAACCTATTGGGAGTAACACGAAGTTCAAGTTTGGCCAGTTTAAGGGGAAGACGTTTTGGGAGATCTTGCATGATCATCCTGACTACTTTGCATGGACACAGAAGAACGCCAAGAGTCCAGGAGCCTCAGAGTATGCCGAGTGGGTGAACCAAAACTTTGAGTATCGGGGGAACATAGTGTATCGCAGAAGTAGTTTGGAGCCACCACCACCTCTTCCAAAGCAACACACACGTTTGAGGAAGCCACCGAATCCACCAAAGGAGAAGTGTGCCAATTGCACCCAATTCACTCGTCAGGGGAGTACGGGTTACACCATCAAGGAGACATGTCTGGTTTGTGGCCATTCAACTACTACCAGGAGAGAACTACTCCCCCAATATCCTTATGACCAGTGTCCACATGAAGACAAGGATTTTCGTGGTTCTTCAAGGTCTGTTCACCGAACCTTCTGTAAGCAGTGTTGCACGTATCTGGATGAGACTCCGATGGAGCTCCAAAGGACCCGAAAAGCAGTCTCCACCAAAGTCTTGGAAGCACCCCTGGAAAGAGTTTCCATCATTGAACAACTGGTTGATGATTCCAAAGATGCGACCTTTAGCCCCGACATGCTGGACATGATCCTCAATGATTTTGCCACCTTAGTCGCCACCAGTTCTGAATCTGAGGCCATCACTTCGACCAAGCTGCATGAACTTCTCCACCAATCCATCGCCAATGCAGAAGGAGACAGCAGTTTTACCATGGTTGGTGATGTGGAAAACCCTGGGGAAGATTTTGCAGGTCTCGGAGTGTGTTTTCATGGGGACGAGCCAGATGTAGAGATGTCTGATGGCTTGGTGCATGTGTTCCAAGAGACCCGTGACATGTACGACATGAGTGATCCCAATATCTATGTCGTGTTGGATGAGGGGTGTAACTCAACTTGTCACTCCAAACATTGGGCTGAGGTAGTAACTGCCAAGCTGAAGAACTTGGGATACCAGTTTCCATTCAATGACACCAAGGGGAAAACCTTCTCTGGATTGGGGACCGGGGGAACCTCGACCGAGGGATCCCGTACATTGCCTTTCAGCCTGAATTTCATGGACAGCAAGTGTACACCCATTCATGGGGTACTTGAGACGCACCAACTTAGCTCCGGGACATCACCACTCTTGCTGTCACTGCATGCTCAAGCCCATCTTGGACTTGTCAAGGACTTGAAGAATGGAACAGTATCCATTGATGGTAATCAGTTGCCAGTTTTCAGATGTTCTCATACAGGTTTGATGATGTTAGCAATCACCCCAAATCAAATTGATCCGACAGGAAAAACGTCCAATCACATTTCACAACAGATCCCAAAGTGCCACAGAAAGTTTCGAACTGCCTTTGCCGCCCTATCCGACGAGCCTGGTTCGCCGTCGGCCAGTGAGATGTTGAGGTCTCCAAGTGGCTACAGCTCGTCAAGCGCAGATCACATCGAAGGTGCCGTGAACAACTGCCTGAGGGGACTGGACAGATCCCGATGCCTTGTGGTCACTTCAGGTGCTCGTTGGACAGGTCGACAGCCAAGCTTCCCTGGTGCTAAGGTTCTTCAGATTGACTGCAGGCATTTCCATGATCCTGACAGCGACAGATCGATCCGAGGTTGCACTGGACGACATCCTAGCATTATCCGAGGAGTTGCACTTCATGAAGCAATGAATGACCTCGTTGAGCAGGTGACAGATTTCTTGAGGGCTAACCCGAATGGGAAGCTCGTGATCCACTTGTACTGCACCAGTGGTCGTCATCGCAGTGTTGGATTGGCAGCTTTGATCTACTACTTCTTGGACGTGACTGATTGGAGGAAGCCTTTGCTGATCCATTATCACAGCCCGGAGTGGCGTGAGATGACTTGTGGAGGTCATTGCAGTCTTTGTGCAACAGCCGACACCAGAGAGCTTGGAAACTTGATGAACAGGCATCTTCCTGACGTGCGTGTTGTGGATGTGGATGAACCTGATAGGTCATCAGGAGTTGCTAGGCCGCCTGAGCCTGTTAGGCCACCGGCACCAGGGCCTACTACAACGGCGACGAGATCTATCCCCACGTTGACACCATCCAGGACTGTGCCAGTTCCAGTCCGTGCTCCTATGACACCATCCTTTGGAGGTACATCGACGAGAACGCCTTTGACACCCAGGTATGTTCCAGCATATCCACCTCCAAGCCGTAGTGCTGGAGACTCATCTCGTGGAGGAGCACATCACGAAGGAGACGAACGAGGCCGTGATTATGGAGGACAAGACCGAGACTTAGCAGTACAGGTTCTTGCTAATCAGGTCCAGGAGCTCTCAGGTCTTGTGAGACAGGTGCTTGAAGGAGAACGAGCTGATCGTGGAAGGACCAGAAGAAGATCC